TTTGGCACTGTGTATGTGTGTGTGTGTGTGTGTGTATATATATATATATATAGTCACGGAATGTGGAGTACAGCATAGGGAATATAGTCAATCATATTATAACAGCTATATACAATGTCAGAGGGGTAGTAGATTGTGGGGGAGGTTATAACTTTGTGAGGGGTGTAAATGTCTATTAATTGCTTTGTACACCTGAATCTAATAAAAAAAGAAACCTAGAGGACTGCTGATAAATTAGGAAAAAAAGTCTGTGAATGATGACAAAGCTGGTGCATTTTCAGTTTAGATTGACACGACTCGAGACATAGGCATAACTCTTGTTTGCTGTATAAGTCACAGGCTTTCAGAGAGCTGATATCTATCATAAACGGAGGGTCAAGAGCTAGAAGGACGTTCAGTGGATTTGCTTTTGGTTAAAGAGGCCTCTAGCCACTGTTAAAGAAGACTCGCTGCACTGTTGTTATTTTTGAGATTCAGATCCATTAAAGTATTGACAAAATGAATTGGTTCATTCAGGGAACTTGACAAACTTTCAGGATGCATTTTAAGTATAGTCTAGAAGTTGGCTACTCACTATGTAGGTAGGAGACTTGAGAGTCTTGGAGCTGGAAGGGACAGTAAGGATCCTTTATTTTGTCCTGTCACCAACATAGAGATCCCTCCCTATCATAGTGATGGTCATTCTCTTCCTGAAGACCCAAGGTGGAAAGGTGGGCACAGCTTCAGAAGGCAGCCATTTCTCTCAGGGACGGCTTGACTTCTTTTGTGCCCCGTCTCATTGAAAAAACAGGAAAGTTATCTAAAAATATATATTTAAGAAAAGAAATATTTTTACACACATACACATTTTAGTGAACAGCAAACATCTGTACATCTATGTACTCCTCTAGAGAGGACTAGAGTTTTAATACCTGATAAAAATTGGGCACCCAGGGCAGTCATTACGTGTATTGGAAATGACACTTTGTGCTTCGCTATTTGAGCACATTTATAGATCGGCAGTATTACTCGTTGATGTGTGGACAGAAATTTGACTGTATTACATACCCAGTGATTAGTTTCAGAAACAAATAGTATGTCAGTAGTAAAGAGATCTTTGAGATGTTCTTGAAACCTAAACCTTGATTTAGTGACCTTAAATTCCAGGGACAACCCACTGGGCTTATAGAGCTCAGCATCAAAAGTTGGTACCCAATGTATATAGAAATGTAAAGAGATCAAGGTGTAACATTAAGTCAGAAACCCTTCCCAATTTGTTGCAGATATTTAGTGATATCTGAAAAATGATATTCATTATTTTTTATTCAGCTATAAGGAAACGTTACAACCTAATAATGCATAAGGCATTTCTGAGGCCCCAAGTGGAGATACTGAGTTTGGAGAGACCTTTATGAAACAGAACAGGTTAAAACACCATTCACCAGAGGAATCAAGGCATTTAAAAAGATTGATTCAGAAGAGGGCAACACGTCCCATTTGAGAGTTCAGCAAGGGAAGCAGGAGTCCAGTTCTTGCTCCATCCATGCAGCATGCCACAGCTGCATTCTCAAACATTTCAGCTTTTATGGACTCAGTGAGGACACCATCTGCCTGGCATGAGCTGCTTTGGATGTTGTCTTATGCAAAAAGTGTTCCCTACTTGGAGAGCCTGGGCCTGTTTCCTGTCCTGGTCAGTGAGGGAGGGTGGAACCTTGGATTCTACATGGCGATACCCTTAGGGATTCCTCAAGCTTGCTCTACTTTTGACTGTTCCAGTCCTAAAGGAGGTGAGTCCCAGACAGGAGGGATGACAGCCTTACAGCCAATGGATCTCTGCCAGGGGAACAAACATCAGAGCTTCCAGTTTCCATGCCTTCCCTGACCCTAAGATGGCGCTCGTTAAACTGGATTGTGTATCTGAATCACCTGGAGGGCTTGTTAAACACAGATTGCTGTCCCCCAACCCTACACCCTGTTTCTGATTCGGTAGGTTTGAGGTAAAGCCTGAGAATTTTCATTTCCTATAAGCTCCATGATGCTGATGCTGTACCTGGCTCTGCGCTTTGACTACGACTGCCCTAGGAGTACCTACCACCAAGGAAATACAGAGCATAGCTGGACCACCCACTTCCCAGCCAGCCACCCGAGGCCATTTCTCCCTGGGGAGAATGAAAATGCAGGTGGGAGAAGAGGCCTTCAACCAGGGCCAGTCTGGGAAGGCAGAGCTGCTCGTTGAATGCGATGCTTAGAAGCATTAATTGTGAGACTTTACTCGGCCTAAACCGTGATGAAATAATTAAAAGCATCATAGCAAGAAGTGAAACCCTAGGGAGGCTATTAACAGTTTAGCATTTCCAGTTCCTGTGGGAATGTTGATTCTACTTACCAAGGAGAGTGTTGTGGACATGTTCCGTGGGAGAGGCAGCAGACCCAGCTGGGGTTCCCCGTTGCTTTCGCTTTGACGCTCTTCCCAGAGGAAGAAAAACACAAGTCTGAGTCTCTCTCACAAAGACAGTGTCGGCGGCTCGTTAGGCTGACCAGGGGAATGGTGTGTTTCTCTTCAGCTGGCTAATTCTGTAGGGCAAGCATAGGTAGAGGGTGGAAACAGTGGGAGTGAGCCAAGAGGTACAGGAAGCAGGTCAGGTGTTATTTTCCAGTTTTTAAACCAAGTCAGTTCATTTGGATCTTTGGAAAGGCCCACTCCACACCTCTGGTCTGGACTCATCCCCAAGAGGTTAAGAAAGGTTGTTTCTCCTAATGGGTCAGGAGAAGGAAAGCCCTCCTCATTGGCCCTTCCTGGGCAGTGAAGACCAGGGCGGGAACGGCAGAGGGGAGGAGGCAGACAGATATCTGAGGAAAGGGCCCTGGACAGGGAGTCAGGGAGGCTAATTCTGACCTTCACTTTGTGGTTAACCATCAGTATAGCCATGGGTCAGTCACTTAATTTCTCAGGGCCTCTATTTCCCCATATGTAAAATGAAAGATCAGACTTGATGATCTCTTAGGTTTTCTACAACTCAAAAAACCAAAACCAAACCAAACCCTAGTGCCAGGTACTCAGAACTCTCCTTGATGAGCCCTCCTTTGCTACGTGGCCTGGCGCTGTGGAGAACTGGGCCAGGCTGCTGCTTCAAAGCTCAGCTTGCTGGAGGCCACTGGGTATGTCGACAGGTTTGAGAACCAGAGATACATGCAAGTGGTCAGCGCTGGATTAGGTTAACAGTTCCCCCATTTCTTGCTGGATGACTTTTGAGGCACCATGGAGTCTCTTCCCAGAGTAAACGGCAGGGAGTTTGAAGTTAGACTCTCCCTGTGCGAGGGTCCCAGTACCTTGTTGCTTTTATGCTGGGGTCCCAGAGGTACCTCAGTTGTGTGAGTCTCCTAAGAAAAGGATTTCAGTCTTGGCAACAAACACTTATTAAATAGCTGAGGCAAGAACAAGTGCAAAAATGAATTCTCAGATTTCTCATTGAAAAACACTATGACTAAATCTGTAGTTAATTTTACCCTATACTCTCAATTCACTTAACATAAACAGTCAGATGAAGACGTACTTGTTGTTTGAGTCCAGTCTTCCTGCTTTTGCTGGTTAATTTTGTGGTATTTATTTTGTTTTGGGTCAGAGAGGAGAACATGGCTCGATAGATGGTCTTGGGCTGGGTGGAGCCTCCCTTTGCAGTCATGATAACAACAGATTTATGACATCTGTGTAAGAGCATCCATGAGCCACACGCCATGTTACCCACCAAGGCGTCATGAAAGAAAACCTTGTGCTGACTGCCCTGGCTGTTCTTGGTAATGTGATCTATATAAGGAGAACAGGATGTATTTTATACACGAGACCTGCTGTCCTAGAGTATAACAACAACACTTTTAAGTGCTCTTAATATTAAGCTAATGGAAAACATATTCTGTTTACTCACCATCAAAGTCTGTTTTCCTTCTCTCCAGCCTCCCCAAGCATCACAAACTCCAATCCTCTAGAACACGCTGACCGTCTCTTGCTCCATCTATCCTCTGCTCTGTCTCATGGTTGACCTCTAAACACTTGGTTAGCTCAAGGTGGACTTGGAAAAGCTAGGAACTTACCACATAAACCATATAATCCCCAGGTTGCACAAACCAAATATTTCCTTTCTCACAAAAATCTCAGTGCTAGAAATGCTTGATTTACTGCTAGATTTATGTTTATTAGTGGTAGAAGTCATTTTTCCTCACCAGAGTGCAAAAAAGTGCAGCAGAATGGAGAAGGCAGGCCACTTTTTCTGGGTGCTGTTATTGGAAGGCTGGTACTCTCCTTGTTGTTTAATGGTGGGATTCCCCACCCCCAAGGTGAGAGTTGGCCAGTTATTTTAACCCCAGAAGTCTAATCTTTATTATCCACTACTTTGCGTTCTAAGAAGCCATGTCATGTGGGATGCCCCATTGACTGAATTCTGGAGTGTGGCCCAACGCTGAAGTGTCTAAGGTTTCCCTGTCATCGAAATGCTGTCATAAATACATCATGAGAAGAGAAAGCAGTAGAACAGGGAAGGCAGAATGGGACTCTGTTCTAGAAGGAATGATTCACAAATCCACTCATTTCCTATTAGCATATTGTTTTTTTTGCTTGGGCTTGTCTATAAAGTGAAGTAAATGTATGCATGTAAACCAGCCTTGCAGATAAATCCCCTGTTTTACCAGCCTACCCATAATATTACCAATTTCCCCTTGCTATTTCTACATCTCTTATTACAAAACAATAATGAAACAACCAACAAGCAAGTGGATGAAAGAACCGCCCCCAATACCTAAAAACACACCTCTTCCCTTTTGTCAAAAAAGACCAAAATTAAAAACAAAACATAACTGTAAGAATTAACTTAACCACTGTTCTTTTGATACAGGCCGTGGGCCTGTGAACTGTCTGCAAGGCTGTTGTAATGATGTTAATCTATTTTAATGAAATTGAAATGTGATATCCTGTGGTTTACGATGTACATTGTTTATGGCTTTAGCTTGATTTGGGGTTTCTTTCACAGATAAACTTCTGCACTGGCGGGGCCTGTCCTCCCCTCGTTCTGCACATGGAGCTCTAATCCCCACGCCCGGGATGAGTGCAGAGTATGCCCCGCAGGGTATTTGTAAGTTGAGCATTATTTCTTCTACAAATGTTCATGTGTATAGAGATGAGAGTTTCTGGAAATTACCCTTACTTTTTTAAGTACTGAAAGGAGTTACTTCCAAAATAGATTGGCATCCGCATATGTATTATTCCATTACTCACTTGGCACCCGTTCCCCCACTCCACTCAGCCTTTCCCTCCCCTTTTTTTTTCTTTCCTTCTTTACTGAAGGCATGGAGCTGACAGCAGCTCATTCCTGCGGGTCTTCTCCCCAGGGTCTTGCCTGGTTCCACAGCTGGTGACTGCATCCATCTGTGTGGTCAGAGCCCATTTTATTGCTGGACATTCACTCCTATGGCCTCATTTAAGACTTTGAATTATTCCATGGCATACATTTTTAGCAGAGACCAGAACCAAAAGGAGTCAGTTGAGAGTTACTCCAGAGTTATTCTTATGCATGTTATATAGGCATTTACATGTGTATTTAAACATGGTGTATTTTTATATATACATGGTGCATTATATATGTGCATACATATATAATTTCTACTTGTTTTTCTCCTAGTTTTAGAAAAAAATGCACAGCATTGTTGCTAAAATTCAAAGATGCCACCACCATCATCACTACCGCCCCCACCATTATCACCACCACCACCACCACCACCACCACCACCATCCAATTAACTTGTTCAAGCCCACTTTTATAATGGGGAACTTTTAATGAAATTTAGATTTGTGTTTATAAAAATGTTTTTGAGAGATGTTGTTTTAGAAGGTAATACAGCTTGCTTCTCTCATGTAGGAATAAATGGTATGAGTCATGCATGTCTAAAATGTTGGGGGTGGGGGTTGCTGATTCCACCCCAAACACAAAAAGCGGGTTCAAGAAAAAAAGAAGTGTGACATCTAATTTTTATTTAAGGAAAGTAGTTTTATTTTGAAAGTAAATGAAAAATAACCTGTTGTGGAAAAGAAAAAAAGAAAGGGAAAGTGTCATGGAAAGAGAATCAGAAGGACAAGATACAGGAGTTGAGGCTATAAAGGTGACTGGTTTTTCTATGGGAGGTAAACTAGGCCTCACCACCTTGTGAATGGTGTCTGCAGGGCAGGGCATACATCCGAGACCAAATTCAAAGCCAGTTGTTTATTTTTCTTAACTCCTAGGTAATCCTAGGTAACAAAGAGTTATTGTGTGAATTTCACAAGCCCTTGGGTCCTGAGGGCTGGGTGGTGTAGGGGTTAAAAAGCACCTCCTCTGCCCTCCCCACCCCCCCACCCCCACCCCCCAGGCTGGGCCTAAGCCTGGGTTAGGTCACAGATTGCAGAGTTTAGGGGGTTGGACTCATGGTTTCGAGTCCCTACATGCTGACTGGGTGGGGAGAGCTCTCCTCATTTGGCTGGGGGTGCCTGGGGCCCCACACTTGGCTGTGGGAACAGAGCCACCCTGGGAGGGAAGGGAAAGGAAGGGAGAGTAGGGCAGTCGAGAGGAGGGTACAGCTGAGTGGCCAAGGGCTGCTGGCCTGGGAATCGGTTAGTTTTCTCTCTTCCACTGGATCCTCCTGAAGGCAGGGGATTTGATTTGAGGGGTGGGAAACTAGGAGCCTGATATGGAACCCCTGTCTTCCTCCCCACTTCCCGCAAAGGGAGTGTGCCTCGTTTGTGGGTACTCATGCTGGCAAAACCAGTTTAGGGGTGGACAGAATAAGGTATGTGGAAATGGGTTGTGGGGTTCCAGAAAGCTTTAGAACAAAGCTGACCCCCACCGCACTCAGCTGTCTTAACCAGGTGCCTTTGGCTTTCAGAGCACGTAGCACCACCCAGCTGTGGCCTCCCTGCTGGTGGCCATGGTCCTTAAAATCTTCCCCTCCTGCCTCCCTCTAACCAGGGCCTCCTGCTGGCCTGGGGTAAGACCTGGCTTTTGGATTCTGACCTTCCTCTGGGCACCCTTCTGGTTGTGTAATGGAGCTAGTCATCACGCTAGGTACCTAATCAAGCCTGGTAGTAATGAAAACTCACATTCAAGTTGGACCTGATAGTTCGCAGAGGGCTTTTATATACATCTGTCATTTGAGCCTCACAATTCGTTAAGGTACTGTTTTTATGTTCGTTTTACAGATAGGAAACCTAAGGCTCAGAGAAATTAAATGACTGTGCCACAGCCACAAGCTAGTGAAATAGTAGAGCCAGAGGTCCAGCATCAGACCTCTGTTCTTCTAAATTCTAAGGCTTAGATCATGTGACTTTTTAATCACCTGACAAACTAGAATGGGATCATTCCTTTCCATACAATAAAAGGAAATAAGATAAAAGCCAGTAGCTAATAGCTGATTTTAACCGTTTTGATTCCTCGAGTTCCTATGCTTGGGGCCAGGTCTGAGTTTATTGCTCTAAATCAAAACAATCCCTGTGATTGCCCAATGAGGCTCTCAAATTGAGAAGTTGATTTTCATCAGAGTAAATGAAGAATATTATTATATTTTACAAGTCAATAAATCAATGTAGCCCTAATTTTGCCACGCAGGAAATCAATTCTGGTCTTTCTAAACCATCAAAGATGTTATGAACAAAGTAATTTCACAAATTATGGCAAGTAACACATTTATTGATGACTGCAGTTTCAGAATTTAGAATCTGTGAGCACTGTAATATAATATGGTACACTGGCATGAGCTGAGTGAAATACAGATTATATGGTGAAACTGTAATGCATCATTTGCTATTAGTGGACTGGTAATAATTACCAGTTTCAAAGCAGCTCTTTCCATGTAATCTTTAGTCTCAATCGTAACAGCCCTTCTCATTGACATTATGATTACACTAGCTGCCCTCATGATCTAGAATATCTAGTTGATGGGAATACTAAAATGCGATAGTGAAAACTGTATGTTGTATGCTCATTAGAAGATAAAATGCCATTTTCTCTGACCTGATGTATGGGAGAGAGGGAGGGTAACAGTACAGTGTTAACATATTGTAGCACAATCACATCACTAGCTCTGAAAACAAAATTTTAGCAAGCTCAAGGCAGCAAAATAAAATGGGCTTTTCTTAGTTAAGCCTTTTTGAAAAGATACAGGCGAGATCCTTGATGTAGCGCTCTATAGATCTTGGCATTTATCAATGGCTACATTCATGGTGCACGTGAAACCAGCATCACTAATTAAGGGCCCAGTCCTGCGTTTCAATAGAATATTATAAGGTAAATATGATTTTAAGGCATTTGGAGTGACGAAAGTGTTAAGGACTTGCTTCAGCTTGACCAATCTCCTCTTTACTTCCCAATTCAGATTGTCAGGCTAAATGTGTGATAATAACACGGAGTCCTGGAAAGGCAAAGGAGAAAGCCAGAGAGGGTCACGGTAGTTGGAACCAGATAGCTTTTGCTTGCCTATGTAAGACCCAAGTCATTGTTCAACTACAAAAAAAAAATTATGAAAATATTCTCAATTATGCTTTTTATTTCCCTTTGAAGAGAGGAGGCAAACAAAAATAGGCAGATAATGTGATATTAATGGTAGCGTTTTCTTTCAGAATCTTTTCTGCATTTTTTTTTTTTTTTTTTACTCTTCCACATTAGGCAAATGCTTCAAACCTAATTTTGGTATCTTATCATCTAATCTTGTTAAAGAGATTTACCCAGGAGTGGGATGTATTGAGTGAGATTATAAATGCATTGTAAGGTAAATTACAAGGTCAGGGCGGGGAGTCCATTATTCAGACAAGTGCTTGAGTGAGGCTGGCTTGTTTTGGTAGACTGAATTGTTTTGGAATAGAGTGTTTGGGGCTCCTGAGAAGACTCTGCCAGCTTTTCTTTCTGACTTGCTAAATGAAGGAATCATAATTGATTAATTCCTCATTCCCACTCTAGCTCCATGGTGAATTTTTTTCCTTTTTAAAAAGTTACTAGCCAGGCTTTAAGGAACAACTCTGGCCCTTCTTTTAAGAGAAGGGCTAAAGTTTGTTATTTCTCATTTGTGTTTTATACACTCACTTTTTTGGAAGTTCCTGGGAAGTTATCTGTTTTTCTCCTCTCCTTTGGCCACCAACCTTTGGGCCCTTTTTAATACTGTAGTTGACTGGTAAACTGTTAGTTACTCCCTTGATGTAGATATGTTTTTTTAATTTAGCTATCTCCAAAAATGAATGATTGTGAAATCAAGCTGGCCCCCTTGGCCAAAGTGGCATTTACCACTCTCGGGTTCTTTTCAATGAGAGAGAAATAATGTGACTTAAGCAGGGCCCCTCTCCAGACGGCTTGGCTACTAGCCAAAGAGTTGACTAGCTGAACTGTATCTTTCTGTTTCTTTCTCAACTGGAGCTGAGGCTCCGCGGAGGGCGCAGGATGTTGTATAATTTGGTTCACGTTGTTAGCCTCTCAAAATAATGAGGGGGAGGATAGTGTAGCATTTCTCAGCCTGCTGCCGGTCATGGTGCTGGCTGCTTTAACTGTTCTTAAACTGGGATGCTGTGTCTGCTTAAGTTGGCACCAGCCTCTCCTACTAACTCTAGGCTTGCATTTGTTTGACTGGGAGACAACTCCTAAAGATTTGATATGACCTGTTGCCTAAATTCGAATTAAATTTCTCTTTTGAGATTTTCACAACATCCCTTGAGATAAAAATGGGAGTCCTCGTGGGGTGTCATGGAGCCAGAATTGGGACTCACTGACCCTCACACAGGCTGGGATGTGAGAATGTTGCTAGTCTGTCTTCCAAAGAATTATTTTTTGAGTATCTTGTCATTTTTTAACAATGTCAATAATTAGTGTATTTCAGGCTAAGATTAAAAGCATCTCTAGGGCCATAGAGAATTGTAATGAGTTGACCTTCTCTTTTTTGATATCTCTATGAAATGATTGCCTATTTAGAAAGTTCACCTGCCATCCAGGGGGGAATAGAATGATGGGATTTAGGGAGCAGGAAAGTTTCCCTTAGGTCACCTTGTCCAAGTCCCTCACTTAACAAATGAGAAATGGAGGCACAGAGATGAAATGACTTCCCCAAACCACAGCTGGTGAAAGACTGGAAGGTTCAGAAGATGTTTGCCGAGGTTCCCTAGGCCATAGGGGTCATCATCCTCAAACTTGAATTAATCTAGATTTTTCTGCTTTGGAGACTGGATTTAAAATTCTTAGAACTGAGTTAAGTGTCAGAAAAACTGATTCGACAAATATTTATTGGGCACCAACCACCAGGTGTACCAGGCACCATCTAGGTACAGGGGATATAGGTCAGGGAGGGCTCAGGCTTTGGGGTTGAGGGCTGGGGGCAGGAAAGGCTGGAAGTGGAACATAAATAAGCAATTGCTGTTGCCCTCCTCCACGATTAAACATTGATGTTGGTATTGTATTATTTTGCAGGTAAAGATGAGCCCAGCAGCTACACATGTACAACTTGCAAACAGCCATTCACCAGTGCATGGTTTCTCTTGCAACACGCACAGAATACTCATGGATTAAGAATCTACTTAGAAAGCGAACACGGAAGTCCCCTGACCCCGCGGGTTGGTATCCCTTCAGGACTAGGTGCAGAATGTCCTTCCCAGCCACCTCTCCATGGGATCCATATTGCAGACAATAACCCCTTTAACCTGCTAAGAATACCAGGATCAGTATCGAGAGAGGCTTCCGGCCTGGCAGAAGGGCGCTTTCCACCCACTCCCCCCCTGTTTAGCCCACCACCGAGACATCACTTGGACCCCCACCGCATAGAGCGCCTGGGGGCGGAAGAGATGGCCCTGGCCACCCATCACCCGAGTGCCTTTGACAGGGTGCTGCGGTTGAACCCAATGGCTATGGAGCCTCCCGCCATGGATTTCTCTAGGAGACTTAGAGAGCTGGCAGGGAACACGTCTAGCCCACCGCTGTCCCCAGGCCGGCCCAGCCCTATGCAAAGGTTACTGCAACCATTCCAGCCAGGTAGCAAGCCACCCTTCCTGGCGACGCCCCCCCTCCCTCCTCTGCAATCCGCCCCTCCTCCCTCCCAGCCCCCGGTCAAGTCCAAGTCATGCGAGTTCTGCGGCAAGACGTTCAAATTTCAGAGCAACCTGGTGGTGCACCGGCGCAGCCACACGGGCGAGAAGCCCTACAAGTGCAACCTGTGCGACCATGCGTGCACGCAGGCCAGCAAGCTGAAGCGCCACATGAAGACGCACATGCACAAGTCATCCCCCATGACGGTCAAGTCCGACGACGGCCTCTCCACCGCCAGCTCCCCGGAACCCGGCACCAGCGACCTGGTGGGCAGCGCCAGCAGCGCGCTCAAGTCCGTGGTGGCCAAGTTCAAGAGCGAGAACGACCCCAACCTGATCCCGGAGAACGGGGACGAGGAGGAAGAGGAGGACGACGAGGAAGAGGAAGAAGAGGAGGAAGAGGAGGAGGAGGAGCTGACAGAGAGCGAGAGGGTGGACTACGGCTTCGGGCTGAGCCTGGAGGCGGCGCGCCACCACGAGAACAGCTCGAGGGGCACCGTGGTGGGCGTGGGCGACGAGGGCCGCTCCCTGCCTGACGTCATGCAGGGCATGGTGCTCAGCTCTATGCAGCACTTCAGCGAGGCCTTCCACCAGGTCCTGGGCGAGAAGCATAAGCGCGGCCACCTGGCCGAGGCTGAGGGCCACAGGGACACTTGCGATGAAGACTCGGTGGCCGGCGAGTCGGACCGCATAGACGATGGCACTGTTAACGGCCGCGGCTGCTCCCCGGGCGAGTCGGCCTCAGGGGGCCTGTCCAAAAAGCTGCTGCTGGGCAGTCCCAGCTCGCTGAGCCCCTTCTCCAAGCGCATCAAGCTCGAGAAGGAGTTCGACCTGCCCCCCGCCGCCATGCCCAACACCGAGAACGTGTACTCGCAGTGGCTTGCCGGCTACGCGGCCTCCAGGCAGCTCAAAGATCCCTTCCTTAGCTTCGGAGACTCCAGACAATCGCCTTTCGCCTCCTCGTCGGAGCACTCCTCCGAGAATGGGAGCTTGCGCTTCTCCACGCCCCCCGGGGAGCTGGACGGAGGGATCTCGGGGCGCAGCGGCACGGGAAGTGGAGGGAGCACGCCCCATATTAGTGGTCCGGGCCCGGGCAGGCCCAGCTCAAAAGAGGGCAGACGCAGCGACACTTGTGAGTACTGTGGGAAAGTCTTCAAGAACTGTAGCAATCTCACTGTCCACAGGAGAAGCCACACGGGCGAAAGGCCTTATAAATGCGAGCTGTGCAACTATGCCTGTGCCCAGAGTAGCAAGCTCACCAGGCACATGAAAACGCATGGCCAGGTGGGGAAGGACGTTTACAAATGTGAAATTTGTAAGATGCCTTTTAGCGTGTACAGTACCCTGGAGAAACACATGAAAAAATGGCACAGTGATCGAGTGTTGAATAATGATATAAAAACTGAATAGAGGTATATTAATACCCCTCCCTCACTCCCACCTGACACCTCCTTTTTTCACCCCCCCCCACCCATCGCCCTCCAGCCCCACTCCCTGTAGGATTTTTTTCTAGTCCCATGTGATTTAAACAAACAAACAAACAAACAAACAACAAACAAAAGTAACAGAAGCTAAGAATATCAGAGTGCTTGTCACCAGCACACCTGTTTTTTTTTTTTTTCTTTTTCTTTTTTCTTTTTCTTTTTTTCCTTTATGTTCTCACCGTTTGAATGCATGATCTGTATGGGGCAATACTATTGCATTTTACGCAAACTTTGAGCCTTTCTCTTGTGCAATAATTTACATGTTGTGTATGTTTTTTTTTTTTTAAACTTAGACAGCATGTATGGTATGTTATGGCTATTTTAAATTGTCCCCAATTCGTTGCTGAGCAAAAATGTTGCTGTTTCCAGTTCCGTTCTTAGAGAAAAAGAGAGAGAGAGAGAAAAAGACCATGCTGCATACATTCTGTAATACATATCATGTACAGCTTTATTTTATAATGTAAGGAGGAAAAACAGTCTTTGGATTAACCCTCTAGAGACAGAATAGATAGCGCTGAAAGTCTCTATGAGCTAAAGGACTGTCTCTAAAGGGTTAAATGCATCAATTGGAGAGAAAAAAGGCCTTGAATTGACAAATTAACAGAAAAACAAAAAAAAGTTTATTCTATCATTTGGTTTTAAAATATGAGTGCCTTGGATCTATTAAAACCACATTGATGGTTCTTTCTACTTGTTATAAACTTGTAGCTTAATTCAGCATTGGGTAAGGTAATAAACCTTAGGACCTAGCATACAATTCTATATTGTATTTCTCACAACAATGGCTACCTAAAAATATTACCCATTATGTCCTAGTTAATCATCATTTTCCCTTTAGTTTAATCTTGTAAGCAAAACTGATTATACCAGTATAAAAGCTATTTTGCTCCTGGTGAGAGCTTAAAAGAAGTGGGCTGTTTTGCCCAAAGTTTTATTTTTGTTTTTAAATAATGATTACATTGAATGTGCAACGTGCAAAAGCCCTGGAATGATTAAATACATGAGTAAAGAATTCATTTCATGAAGATACTTGTTTTAAATAATGTCTTTTAAAAAAATTCTGGCACCAAAAGAAATAGATCCAGATCTACTTGGTTGTCAAAAGGACAATCAGACGATAAACTTTAAGACCTCGTATAGCATATTAAAAATAAGAGGCTGCAATAAGGTTTGACAGAGGGTAACAGAGGAAAAAAATATGTGATTTATTAGCACAACTTGGTACTATTTGCCATTTTAAACTAGAACAGGTGTATAAGCTAATATTGATACAATGATGATTAACTATGAATTCTTAAGACTTGCGTTTAAATGTGACATTCTTAAAAGAGAAAGAATTTTAAGAGTAGCAGTATATATGTCTGTGCTCCCTAAAAGTTGTACTTCATTTCTTTTCCATACACTGTGTGCTATTTGTGTTAACATGAAAGAGGATTCATTGTTTTTGTTTTATTTTTTGATTTTTTCTTTTTTATTAAGCTAGCATCTGCCCCAGTTGGTGTTCAAATAGCACTTGACTCTGCCTGTAATATCTGTATCTTTTCTCTAATCAGAGATACAGAGGTTGAGTATAAAATAAACCTGCTCAGATAGGACAATTAAGTGCACTGTACAATTTTCCCAGTTTACAGGTCTATACTTAAGGGAAAAGTTGCAAGAATGCTGAAAAAAAAAATTGAACACAATCTCATTGATGAGCATTTTTAAAAAAAAACTAAAAAAAAAAACTTTGCCAGCCATTTACTTGACTAATGAGCTTACTTACTTGGACTCAACATTGCAAGCGCTGTGAATGGAAAACAGAATACACTTAACATAGAAATGAATGATTGCTTTCGCTTCTACAGTGCAAGGATTTTTTTGTACAAAACTTTTTAAAATATAAATGTTAAGAAAAAAATTTTTTTAAAACACTTCATTATGTTTAGGGGGGAACTGCATTTTAGGGTTCCATTGTCTTGGTGGTGTTACAAGACTTGTTATCCATTTAAAAATGGTAGTGGAAATTCTATGCCTTGGATACACACCGCTCTTCAGGTTGTAAAAAAAAAACAAAAAAAACATACATTGGGGAAAGGTTTAAGATTATATAGTACTTAAATATAGGAAAATGCACACTCATGTTGATTCCTATGCTAAAACACATTTATGGTCTTTTTTCTGTATTTCTAGAATGGTATTTGAATTAAATGTTCATCTAGTGTTAGGCACTATAGTATTTATATTGAAGCTTGTATTTTTAACTGTTGCTTGTTCTCTTAAAAGGTATCAATGTACCTTTTTTGGTAGTGGAAAAAAAAAAAAGACAGGCTGCCACAGTATATTTTTTTAATTTGGCAGGATAATATAGTGCAAATTATTTGTATGCTTCAAAAAAAAAAAGAGAGAGAAACAAAAAAGTGTGACATTGTACAGATGAGAAGCCATATAATGGCGGTTTGGGGGAGCCTGCTAGAATGTCACACGGATGGCTGTCATAGGGGTTGTACATATCCTTTTTTGTTCCTTTTTCCTGCTGCCATACTGTATGCAGTACTGCAAGCTAATAACGTTGGTTTGTTATGTAGTGTGCTTTTTGTCCCTTTCCTTCTATCACCCTTACATTCCAGCATCTTACCTTCATATGCAGTAAAAGAAAGAAAGAAAAAAAAGGAAAAAAAAAAACCACAATGTTTTGCAGTTTTTTTCATTGCCAAAAACTAAATGGTGCTTTATATTTAGATTGGAAAGAATTTCATATGCAAAGCATATTAAAGAGAAAGCCCGCTTTAGTCAATACTTTTTTGTAAATGGCAATGCAGAATATTTTGTTATTGGCCTTTTCTATTCCTGTAATGAAAGCTGTTTGTCGTAACTTGAAATTTTATCTTTTACTATGGGAGTCACTATTTATTATTGCTTATGTGCCCTGTTCAAAACAGAGGCACTTAATTTGATCTTTTATTTTTCTTTGTTTTTATTTTTTTTTTTATTTGGATGACCAAAGGTCATTACAACCTGGCTTTTTATTGTATTTGTTTCTGGTCTTTGTTAAGTTCTATTGGAAAAACCACTGTCTGTGTTTTTTTGGCAGTTGTCTGCATTAACCTGTTCATACACCCATTTTGTCCCTTTATTGAAAAAATAAAAAAAAATTAAAGTACACAATGTAAGCTTCTTGTGTCCTCATTTGACACACGCTGTAAATTACTTTCAAGAAAATAACAGGTTTTAAGAGAAGGCCAGTCAGTCTTTTTCAGGATTATTTCTATGGGCATTTTGATGCGTGTATTATACCCCAAAGGAACATAAAGTACTTACTATATTAAAATAGACATATCTCAAACCATGGGAATAGTTTTTAGACTTTATAGTTCTAGAATAATTTTCAGGAAATGGAAGGTGTTTTCAGTTTGATGTTAAAAACTTTCTCTCCATCTCTTAGCAGTAATCCATTCAGATATAAATGAAAAACTTAGTGATAATAGCATCTTAAGCTTTTATTTCCTTGGGATAGTTTGCTGTTCTTATCTAAAAGTTCTTTTCTATTCTCCCATCCCTACCGTAGAACATAATGTAAACAAGGTTTTTAAAAAAGAAATCAGCTTTTTCGTTCCCACATAAGAGTTTTTCATCATAGCAAAAATAACCCCACCTCCCAAATCTAAAAATCCAGAAGTGAAGGCATCGAGAGAGAGAGAGAGAGAGAGAGAGAGAGAGAGAGAGAGAGAGAGCAGTAACCAAGAGTTTAGCCAGATTTGGCCAAATCTGTGAAATCAGCCACTGATTTTCTGAGGTGTATGGTGGTTTGCCTTGTAATTCCAAGATCCTAGGGACCATAGACAGGACAGCTCTTCTAGGAGTTTTTATAGGGTCTTCTTGGCTGATAGTGAATGAGGGTGGGAATACTCTTCAATGAATTATCTTTTGGCCAATCAATAGATTTATGAAATGAAACATCATCTTTGAAGAGAAAGCTAGGTCTATTTTTAAAACCCTTCCTTAGAAATCTGTGTTGTCAGTTCAGTTATACAAATACTGCATGTTGCAGCATCTATTTGCTTTATTAAAACACATATGTCTGTGATACTGTCTCCCCATCCCCAGTGTAGACGAATGGATACGACATTGTTCTTTTTTTTGTAAAAACCAAAACGAAAGCCATCCTGTTGTCTTCTTGTGGTAGCATTTTTTTGTCGCTCGGTTCTTATGCCCTGGTGCCTGTGAGGTGGCCTTTTCATGTAAAGGCTTTTATCTGAGGCAAGAAGAGTTTTTCTAAAATAAAGAGAAAGTAGTAGGTGTGGGTTTTTTTTTTTGTTTGTTTGTTTTGGTTTTGGTTTTTTTCTTTTTAAGCCCATTTAGGTGGGAAAGCAGAGAGTGGAGGCAGAGAGGAATCTGGTAAGAGGACTTGGGAGAGCACTGTACTGGAGATGGGACGGGATGGGATGGGGGTGGTACCTTGGAGAACTTGATAATTGGCAGTGAACTGAAGGGAGATATATGTGTTTTAGATTAGGTTACTTCACAGTTGAATCCAACATGCTGGTCAAGACAGACAGAAATACTCCCCAGCGCCAGGCCAATTTTAGATGTGACTTCTGCTCCACCAAATTAAATGTCCACAAACTGCTGTGTGTCCCTATTACACTTTTATTCGGATCTATGAGTGCAGCTGTACACGTTTTTTTATACAGTATTCATATTAATTTCTCAGTATATGATGCTTTTAGTGTAATTAGGTTTTGCACCCTGACAGACAGAATTAATGGTGGATACTGTATACTTGTGTGTTCAAATTTCTTAAATCAAATGGGGAGTAAGAAGGGATGCTAACATCTGGTGATAAATCACAGATTATGTTTGATTTACATGGTCCCGAAGTTAAATAAATTTGCTGCGAGACAGGTTCTTCAGGGTCCTTAGTCTCCTGACTTATCGAAGCCCTCTTATATTATTTCTGATGCTGAGTGAACAATAGAAGCATGGAAAGCTATGCAAGACGAATATACCTTATAAATGACATCTTGTATCGGAACCCTACAATTAAAAATCTTAATGTAAAATAGCAAAAAAACATTTCCAACAGTAGGATGAATTCATGATATCTTTTTTAAAATGAGGAAATACTAAGAACATTTACATTTTTCAAAATTCCCAAGTAAGGTTATATGACACTGCCGATGTGCTGATGCAATGTTCTCAACATACCTGCACTGCTACTTACAAAAACCTTCCTTTTATCTTCATTTTGAGAACAACTTAATGAACAGGAATACAGCAAATACTGTTTCTCACACACTTTAACCCAGAAATTCTTCCAGCGCAAGTGCTTCCTCCATCCTGAGATCATTTAGCATCCTCTCTATTTAGGATCTACGAAAGGACTGCCACACATTTTAAACATTGCTAAAAAGTGAGGTGAACACTTGGTTCTTCATTTGTACCAGCAATGGCAGGAAGTGTGAAGTAGTTGAGTTTTTCCCAGAGCATTCTGTGACAGAACTGTTTATTTAAATACCATTTTTGTATATGCAATAAATATATACTGTATATATTCATAATGCTTGAAGTGAGAATTTGAAAGGAAGCGGCGGTGAGGGTTAGATATCATTTCATTTGGAGAAATAAGGAAATGAGGTGGTTTATTCACAGACACTCAAAGTTTGTGAAAAGGTACTGGGATATTTCAGGTCTTCCTGAAAAGGAGTTGAGAAGCCTCAGGCCCCATCCTGTCCTGCTTTAAACACTTTACTCACAGAGAATGAGGGAGGAAACACAGTGTTTTCTTTTTTTAAACCTCCCCCCACCCCACACACACACACAAACATTTCTTATGACTGTGTTGTGATCGTGTGTTCTTCATTATGATACTGTTACCCCATTGTCCCTGGGCCTGGTGTGTTCAAGTACGTACCCATCCCATTCTCTTGTTTTTCAAACAACTTCCCATTTAAAAAAGAAAACTTGTGGGAATTTTGCCGGTATGAGGATGGGATTGGCAGTGTTCTTTAAACCTGCCTGGAAAAATGTTTTTTTGAAAAAAGACTGTTCGCTTTTAAAAAGCATGAGCCACTTAGCAAAGTTTCCTAAGTGTCTCCTTAGGCCCTGCAGCTCTCTCAATTATGAATAAACAAACCCATTTTTAGAGAAATGGACATCAGAATGCATAGGCAGAATTGGGATTACATACACTTATTCCAGGGCTGCTATAGCTACAAATTGTAGACATGGGTTGTTGGGTATGCACTATTCGTTTGCTGTCGTCTTGTTATCCCATTAGCCCGCTGTTTCATTTAGTAAAACACATGGCCAGTAAATCAGCCTTTAGGGGGATGGGCCTGTTTCTCTCTCTCTCTCTGTTTCCTAGTGTCATCTATGGTCATGGGATGCTATTAATTCCTCCCTTTCAAATGGGAAAGGAGACCAATACAGTTCACGTGGGTCATTGTACTCGAACTTGGTTGAACACAACTCAATGGTTGATCCAAATACTGTTTTTCCTTTCTGTAAAGTGGCAAAGATTACTTAAAGGGAGCGTATGTCAGGTCTTTATGAGACAGCAGAAAAGGCAATCTAAGTGATTTCTCCAAAGCCTATCCTCTAAAGCAGGATCCCCCCCAAAACCCATAGGGGGCTGTGCTTTTAAATAGCAGTGAACGTGGTACTTTGGCCATGCTATACTTTGTCTCTTAGCACTTTAAATATTGGTAGCAGGTCTAACAAAGGAATTTGATGGGGGTATCAGCTAAAGGGGCCTCAACGACAATGACGTAGGGCTGGACTGGGAACCGGATTCCCAGAGCACACCTGGACACAGCAGGCCCCTCAGCCCAGGTCTCTACTGCTCAGGGGGGATTCGTGAAAGCAGCTGAGCTCCAGACCCTGGGCCTCCTCCGGAGCCAAGTCAGGGGAGAAGAGGCCCCAGGCCCCTGCTTCAGGTTGCCACGACAACAAGACCTGGAATGCCACAGTGGTAGCCCTCTTCCTCGGCACATCCGGACTCCCAGTTCTGCTGCTTCAAGTCAATGTACACAGCAAGGGAGGAACCCCGGAAGAAAATAACCACTCCCTTCTTCCCCTCACCATTGCCTTTCCCCCTTACAAAAAAGAAAACAAAAAAAGAAAACTGCATGTTTGAAAGAAACTACAGGCAGTTTTTGGTGCAATTTGGGAGCAACTATTTTGGGTTCTGGTTTCCTCTTCACAGATTTGTTCGCCTCTTGTAAATCGTTGGCTGCTTTGACGTTGAACTTGATGACATTTCATGTTTTCGTTGTGCTGCTTTTACATCAATTTTGATTTTTTGTTTCTTTATAATTTTATTATTATTTTAAGGAAATGTCCCCTTCCCTCTTCCTTCCCCTGTTCTCCTCAACCAAAGGACTGTTTCCTACTCAGTTTCCTCAGTCATAAGGGAAAGTGTTTCCTTCCAGGTGTGTCCCAAGTTTATTAGGACTATCGTATGATTGGGTAGGGGGTCTGGGTCCTTTGGGGGAAGGCAGGGAGGGAGATGATGGGAAAGGTACTCAGAGGTCAGGGATTTGGGGGGGGGGAGTAGACTGAGCTTGAAATCATGTTTTAGATGCCAGTGGCTCAACCTGTGGTTGATTTAAGTTATAACGGTAAAAAGCTAGTTAGAGAACAGAAAATCTCTGGGCCAAGTCACACCTGTACTTTTTTTTTCCCCCCCTCCTCTGTCTCCAACCTCTGTTTAGGTTCTTCACACACCCCCATTCGGCGTAGTACCCCGAGAGCTCAAGATGTGTGGCAGTTTTCGGATGGAAGCTCGAGAGCCCTTAAGTTCTGAGAAAATTTGAAGTCCCCAGGGGCGGGGTGGACGCGTGCCGCCTGGCCGACATCTGCGTGGTCTGTCATCCTGCTAGTTTGTGATGTTTTCTGACAGTAGCCTCCAAGAAGCCGTGTGCGCAGACAGAGTCCTGCAGAACCCTTCCTGCCTGGACCTGCAGTGCCATTTTATTTATATTTTTTAATAAAAAAGTAAAAACAAAAAAACAGACCCGAATTGGAATAGTGAATCAGTCCCATAGAGAGGACCAATGGACCATCGCTGTCCCGAGTGGTGTCCTGGCCCTTTTGAAACCAGCCAACCTAATTACCCGTATTGTGGAAATAAGCATGAGTCCCCAACCCCTTGTTTCTATACATTC